GAAGTATTCTTTATTATTCATTGTTCAGCATTAGGTGAACCTTCTTATACTAAAAATGGGTCCTTTAGCTGGGAAGTTTGCTTCTGTTCCTTTTTTTTTTTTTTTTTTTGTAAGAAGCCTCACCTGGATTTTGTTCCTATTTTAAAATTTATTTATTCTCCTCCTCTTTATTATTTATTTATTTATTTTTGAGACGGAGTTTCGCTCTTATAGCCCAGGCTGGAGTGCAGTGGCACGATCTCAGCTCACTGCAACCTCCGCCTCCCGGGTTCATTCGATTCTCCTGCCTCAGCTTCCCTAGTAGCTGGGATTATAGGCATGCGCCACCACGCCTGGCTAATTTTGTATATTTAATAGAGACAGGGTTTCTCCATATTGGTCAGACTGGTCTCAAACTCCTAACCTCAGGCGATCTGCCTGCCTTGGCCTCCCAAAGTGCTGGGATTACAGGCGTGAACCACTGCACCTGGCCATCTTATCCATTTAATTTAAAAATACGGATTAAATGCTTTAGCTAATGGAAATTTTTGTCATTTCAGTGTTAATAAATATGTTGTACCATATGATTAACCTCTCATACTACTTAAATATGGAAAGCTGTGTTTTCTTTTTTTTTTTTGAGACAGAGTCTCACTCTGTTTCCCAGGCTGGAGTGCAGTGGTGCTGTCTTGGCTGACTGCAACCTCCGCCTCCCGGGTTCAAGCAATTCTCTGCCTCGGCCTCCCGAGTAGCTGGGATTACAGGCACCCGCCACCATGCCCATCTGATTTTTGTATTTTTAGTAGAGACGGGGTTTCACCATTTTGGCCAGGCTGGTCTTGAACTTCTGACCTCATGATCCACCCGCCTCCACCTCCCAAAGTGCTGGAATTACAGGCATGAGCCACCGTGCCCAGCCTAGAAAGCTGTGTTTTCTAATTGAATGTGTTTTCCAGTGGGTATGTCCTATTAACAGATTTTAATCTCCTCATTATGTACAAGTCAACTAAAGCAACAACCTGTGGGTGCTTGAGATAGAAGTTACCTGTGAGGCTGAATCTCTGTAAGAGAAGGGACTTGTGCAGTGAAGGCGAGCAGTGTAGAGGGATGGCATGTCTGGTTACTAACAGTCTCAAAACTCTGGTTTTTCTGAGCATCCCTATGCCCTTGAATGTCTGGAAAACCACTCCCCATTGGAAATTTGTTGGCCACAAAGAATGCCATTGTACATGGCTCTGTTCTCAGAATTGACTACTACCAGTGATACTGTTTTTTTCTCAAAAAATCTTCAAAGAAGGTTTTCCTAGGTATACCATGAGGCAGAACATAATGTTGGTATGTTTTTCAGTGAATCCACACAAATCTATTTTCAGATGGATCTTATGCTTGTGGTGTTTAGGTCACTTTGGAGTATTTATTTTTTTCTATTAGGTTTATGTTGATGGGCAAATTTGAGAAGCTAAGTTTTAGAGAAACTGCCCAGATCTCCATTCTACTATAAAGCAACCAGTAATAATAACTTGTTTGTATATTGTTTATTTAACAGTTGACAAATTATTTTTTATACTCTTTCTGTTTTGTTTTGTTTTTTTCTGTTTTGAAACAGGGTCTCACTCTGTCACCCAGGCTAGAAGGCAGTGATGTTATCATCGCTCCTTGTAACCTTGACCTTCTAGGCTCAAACAGTCCTCCCGCTTCAGCTTCCCAAGTAGCTGGGACTACAGGCACGTTCCACCATGCCCGGCTAATTTTTTGTTTTTTAAAATTTTTTAGAGATGTGGTCTTGCTCTGTTGCCCAGGCTGGTCTGGAACTGCTAGCCTTAAGCAGTTCTTCCGCCTTGGCCTCCAAAAGTGCTGGGATTATAGGCTGAGCTGCCATGTGCAGCCCTCTTTCTTTTTAACTTTAATACTTTTAGCAATATTCTCCTTGATCTGAGTGACTGGAACTACATTATGTATACAATCTAAATTCTAAGACTAGAGTTAGATAGTATTAAAGGACAGGTCCTTATTGACATCGGAGGGCCAAGTGTACACTTCCTTATTGAGACTGAAGTTCAGGCTAGGTTGTGCATCACCACTTGATACTAGACTTGGTTTTTAAACTGCCTCTTCCCAGCTAAAGTTTCTTAAGCTTGTTAGACATTAAACTGAGGTATGTGGCCATGCAATTCAAATCAGCCTTAGTCTTACTTTAAAAGGGAGTAGTTATTGTTTCTTGACCTCTGTCAGACAAGAGGAGCTACATTTTGATGATAGTGTAGACTTTGTATTACAGAACAAATTATGTAATAAAAGCTTTATACATGTTTGTTGAATTAAATAATCAGGACCTCGGTAATTTTCTCTTTCATCATCTTAAGCAATCCAGTTATCTTATGAACAACTTCTTCTGGTTTATTCATTGATATAAAATTATTACCCTAAATGGTCAAGAAAAGACTAGAATCCAGGATGATTGTTCCAGAGCTTTGTGTTCAGTCCACCAGGTCAGTTTCTACCTGTGTCACCAAATGTGGTGGAGATGAGCTTGCTGAATTAATTAAGCACCATGTAAACGTTAAACCACAAGAAGAAAAGAGTGTGAAGTCTCCTGGGTACAGCAGGAGTATTTTATTATCTTCCGTCTTTGCTAGCTTATCTTACAAAGACGGTGGAGATACACATTTTATCTCTCTGCAAGTAAACTTCTTGAAGGCAGGAGTAAAATCTATTCAAGTTTATAATCTTTTTTTTTTAACTTTTTATCTGGAAATAATTTTAAACTTGAAGTTACAAGAACAATACAAGATAACTTTTACTCTGATACCCAGATTCACCAATTGTCACATACTTCACTGTTTATTTCCTATAAAAAGGACATTCTCAGATCGAACTCAAGAAAGTTACGTTTTGAAACAGTACCGTTATGTAATATTCCATATTTTATATAGTCCATGCTTCATTTTCACGTATTACCCGGTAATATCCTTTATAGCAGGTGTTTTCCTAGTCCAGGATCATGTGTTGGGTTTTGTTGTATGTCTCTTTAGCCCCCCTTGATCTGGAACAATCCTCTGCTTTTCTTTGTCCTCTATGACATTGATATTTTTGAAGACTACAGCACAGGTAAGTTGTAGACAGCTTTGTATTCTTGGCCCAGGAAACAACCAAATAAAGTTTTTAAAAAGTACTTATTGAAAAACTTGGAGGCTGGGCACGGTGGTTCACACCTATAATCCCAGGACTTTGGGAGGCTGAGGCGGATGGATCACCTGAGGTCAGGAGTTCAAGACCAGCCTGGCCAAGATGGTGAAACTCCACCTCTACTAAAAATACAAAAATTACCCAGGTGTGGTGGCGCCCACCCGTAATGCCAGCTACTTGGGAGACTGAAGCAGTAGAATCGCTTGAACCCAGGAGGCGGAGGTTGCAGTGAGTGGAGAGATTGCGCCACTGCACTCCAGCCTGGGCAACAAGAGCGAAACTCCGTCTCAAAAAAAAAAAAAGAAAGAAAAATCTTGGGGAGAGTAACTTTCATTGAAAAGGTTCAGTATTAGGGCTGGGCACTGTGGCTCAGGCCTGTAATCCCACCCAGCACTTTGGGAGGCCGAGGCCGGCAGATCACCTGAGGTCAGGAGTTCAAGACCAGCCTGGCCAACATAGTGAAACTGCGTCTCTACTAAATGTACAAAAAACTAGCCAGGTGTGATCGCAGGTGCCTGTAATCCCAGCTACTTGGGAGACTGAGGCAGGAAAATTGCTTGAACCTGGGAAGTGGAGGTGGCAGCCAGCCAAGACCGTGCCATTGCATTCCAGCTTGGGCGACTGAGCAAGACTCTGTCTCAAAAAAAAGTTCAATATAGGAAAGAAATGTGGTTTTTGGAAAAATAACACATACTTTGACTCAGACTTAGATTTAAATCACAGTTCTGCTACTTAGGAGTAGTGTGGCTTTGGGTAAGTTACTTTATCTTCCTGACTCTCAATTTCCTCAGCTCTAAAAGGGTATACATAAAACATGGGCATGAAGAAATGAGATGGCCGGGCGCAGTGGCTCACGCCTGTAATCCCAGCACTTTGGGAGGCCGAGACGGGCGGATCACGAGGTCAGGAGATCGAGACCATCCTGGCTAACACGGTGAAACCCCGTCTCTACTAAAAAATACAAAAAACTAGCCGGGCGAGGTGGCGGGCGCCTATAGTCCCAGCTACTCGGGAGGCTGAGGCAGGAGAATGGCGTGAACCCGGGAGGCGGAGCTTGCAGTGAGCTGAGATCCGGCCACTGCACTCCAGCCTGGGCGACAGAGCGAGACTCCGTCTCAAAAAAAAAAAAAAAAAAAAAAAGAAATGAGATAATGTATGTAAACAGAGCAGCACATGATGTGTATGCAATGAATGGTAGCTGACAATATTTGCTTTGGTATAACCTCACCTGAGTCATGTAAGGATGACTGCTCATGTCATGTTTGAGGGTTAAATACTTCTGTAGTCCTAGTCCACAGAAAATGGAAATGGAGAAAAAGCTAGAGTCAGAATAAGGAATCAATTGGTTGTCACATTCTTTCCTTGCATGTAAATAGCACCTAAGAATTCCTTGCATTTTGTAAGTGCCTAAAAATCTTAACAAGGATATGGAAATCCCTCTAAGTGTTTGTCCCCATATTCAAGTTCTGCAGTATTTGATACTTTCCATTTGCTGTTCACTTTCCAAACTTAATAACTAGGTACGAAATGCTAATGTTCAAGGAATCATTTACTAAGGGACAGATTAGTATTTGTCCATCAGTTGGCTTATTGACGTAACCTGTGTGCTGAATTCACTGGAATGTGGCATAGTCAAATCTGGCTCCTTCCACTACTGAGTTGTTGCAAGAAACACTTGGCAGCTATTAAAGTGCTATTCTTTGCAGTTATTTGGTATAATTTGCCACAGAAGTAAATTCCAGGAGGTAATATTCTTGCTAGGTTACACTCCTGACTTAGGGAGTTCATGCTAAGGGCAATGATCTCTATCTAACTCAAGGTGATTCTCTTGGCAGCCGGGAAGATTTCCAGAGGATTCCAGAACTTGCCATCAACCCACTGGGGGACCGGATCATCAATGCCTTCTTTCCAGAGGGGTGAGTCAGTACAGTTGTTGGACTTCCTTCCTGAGGCTATCACAACCTAAATTATTTGCTAATCTGGAATAGTGATATTGATTGTGCCATCTCAGACTGTGATACCCCCGATTATATTGGGCATTTCTAATTTTGTCATTTCTAGAATATCTCTTCTATTCTACCCTCCTGTGTGTTTTAAACTTCAAATTGATATATGAGCCTGTCTTCAAAATTCTGTCTTTATGCTTATCATTGATGTAAAACTAGACTTTTAAAAAATGTTTATTTGGAAGTAATTTCAAATTTACAAGAAAGTTGCAAAAGTTAAAAGTAATTCAAAGAATACTTGTATATCTATTGCCCTGATGCATCTATTGTTATATTGTTAACATTTTGCCTCATTTGTGTGCTCTCTGTCTTAGTAGCAACCCATTAAAATATAATGCAAGCCACACATGTAATTTTACATTTTTTAGTAACCACATTTAAAAAGTAAAAATAGGCCGGGCGCGGTGGCTCAAGCCTGTAATCCCAGCACTTTGGGAGGCTGAGACGGGCGGATCACGAGGTCAGGAGATCGAGACCATCCCATCCTAGCTAACACGGTGAAACCCTGTCTCTACTAAAAAAATACAAAAAACTAGCCGGGCGAGGTGGCAGGCGCCTGTAGTCCCAGCTACTCGGGAGGCTGAGGCAGGAGAATGGCGTAAACCCGGGAGGCGGAGCTTGCAGTGAGCTGAGATCCGGCCACTGCACCCCAGCCTGGGCGACAGAGCGAGACTCTGTCTCAAAAAAAAAAAAAAAAAAAAAGTAAAAATAAGTTGGCCGGGCGTGGTGGCTCACGCCTGTAATCCCAGCACTTTGGGAGGCCAAGGCGGGCGGATCACAAGGTCAGGAGATCGAGACCATCCTGGCTAACATGGTGAAACCCTGTCTCTACTAAAAATACAAAAAATTAGCCAGGTGTAGTGGTGGGCGCCTGTAGTCCCAGCTACTCAGGAGGCTGAGGCAGGAGAATAGCGTGAACCTGGGAGGCGGAGCTTGCAGTGAGCTGAGATAGTGCCACTGCCCTCTAGCCTGGGTGATGGAGCAAGACTACGTCTCAAAAAAAAAAAAAAAAAGTAAAAATAAGTTAACTTTGGTAATATATATTTTATTTAATATATTAAAAATATTATTTCAGGCCAGGTATGGTAGCTCACGCCTGTAATGCCAGCACTTTGGGAGGCCGAGGCAGGCAGATCACGAGGTCAGGAGATCGAGATCATCCTGGCTAACATGGTGAAACCCCGTCTCTACTAAAAATACAAAAAATTAGCCGGGCATGGTGGCGGGCACTTGTAGTCCCAACTACTCAGGAGGCTGAGGCAGGAGAATGGCGTGAACCTGGGAGGCAGAGCTTGCAGTAAGCCGAGATCGCGCCGCTGCACTCCAGCCTGGGCGACAGAGTGAGACTCTGTCTCAAAAAAATATATATATGTATATATACACATACAGTTTCAATATATAATCAATATTAAAAATAACTGAGATACTTTACTTTTTTTGTTTTGTTTTGTTTTTGTTTTGAGACAGAGTCTTGCTCGGTGCCCACGTTGGAGTGCAGTGGTGCCATCTCGGCTCACTGCAACCTCCGCCTCCCAGGTTCAAGCGATTCTCCAGCCTCAGCCTCCATGGTAGCTGAGATTACAGCCACATGCCACCATACCCGGCTAATTTTTGTATTTTTAGTAGAGACAGGGTTTCACCATGTTGGCCAGGCTGGTCTTGAGCTCCTGACCTCAGGGGATCAGCCTGCCTCAGCCTCCCAAAGTGCTGGGATTACTGGCGTGAGCCACCACGCCCAGCCTACATTTTTTCATAGTAAATTTTTGAAATCCAGTGTGTAATTTACACTTACACATATCAGGTCAGACTGACCATGTTTCCAGTGCGCATAACCAGATGTGACAAGTGACTGCAATATTGAACAGCGCAGCTCATGTACCCGTGCTTGCTCTACAGACCCTCTCTTGCAGACACTTTTTCCCTTTCTCTTTCCCCCTCTTTCTATCTACACATACTGTATGTGTGCGTGTATATATATACATACATGCATGTACGTACATACATACACATATATACATGTAGGTATATACACATATATATACTTATGTAATTTTTTTGTGTATGCGTGTTCACATAATTGTATTTCTGAACTATTTCAGGGTAAGTTGCATAGTTATGAGGCTTTACCTCTGAATGCACCAGTGTGTGTTTGCTAAGAATAGGGACATTCTTTTACATATCCATAGTATAGTTTCTACTTCAGTAAACTTACATTGATACAATCCTCTTATCTAATCTATTACTCTGTTGTATTAACATATTATCTAGTTTATTCTAATTTATATTCATATTCCAATTTTGTCATTTAATAATCTGTTTTCTAGCACTTCCCCACCTCCGGTACAGGATCTAGTCTGGGTCAGTTGTCATGTCTCTTTAGCCTCCTTTAATCTGGAACATTTCCCCAGCCTTTATTTTACTTTTGTGATACTGAATAAACATATAGTTCTCATAACACACACACTTTGTAAAGTAGATTGTTCTTAATGTGGGGTTTTCTAGTGTGAAACTAGTCTTTTGATATGCTTCACTACCTAATACGCTGCTTTCAGAGTAGTGAGTAAATATTTACTGATTCGATTAGGTACCTTTTCATCAATAAAGCTTACATATAAGCTTGTTTTAAGTAATTTCCTAAACAATCTATTCCTAGTTCATATGGATAGTCTATGACCCACAGGACTTCAAAATATTATATGGGTGCCAGTTTTTAATGAGACTGTCAATGAGGATACTGTCAGATAAAATGCCTGGAGGAAATTTTAGAACTCTAAATTGAGAGCAAAGGAATTTGCTAGTTGAGAGGGTTGGGCATCCAGTAAATGTGAGTGAAAGTCAGAAGGCGAATGAGGTCGGGCAGTTAGTTCATGTAAAGACGGGAATCAAATCATGTTGACTACAAGGAATCTTATGCCCTCCTTCATTTTTTCGCTTTCTCTCTCCTTGAACTGCCCTGTTTGTTTCAGGTGTGGTTTGTATGCTGAATTCTTCCTTTTTTCTGCTTCCTCTTTTACCCCTGCAAAGCATTGAACCCTATCCAGAGATAACTTTCACAGCTATGCTTTGTATCCAAACCTTTTGCAATGAAAAGTAAACCCAGGAGAGTCACTTTGCCAACTTTTTTTCAGAATTCTTTAGTCACCATTGATTACTTGAAGCAGCAGCTTGTGGGAAGCTGTTTTGTAAAGCTAAACTACATTTGCTGTGACTACAGTATCACCTGTCATTCTGTCCACGAATCTACTGCTAAGGAAATGGGACAGAGTGCATATGAGGAAGTGGAGGGCTGTACTGGGCTGCACTGCTTGGCTCTTAGCAAGCTGTGACTGCTTCTTGCGCTAATCATATAGATGTATTTGGCTTCTGGGTTTTTCTTTCTTCCCTAGGCATATGCACATGGGGGCTTTTTTTTTTTAAAAGAGTGAGATTTGAAAGTGGACTATGTTTATCTAATTCCCTTTTACCCAGAAACTTTATGCTAGCAATACTCATTAATGTGTTTTTTCTAGCATATGATTTAAATTTTACTCCACGTTACTTGATTCTTCAGATCTGACATTTTTTACCAGATCCTGGTCCATCAGCAGTATAGATACATTGAAGAACCAAAAGATCATTCTTTTTTTTGCTTTGTTTTGTTTTGTTTGTTTTTTTGAGACGGAGTCTCCCTCTATTGCCCAGGCTGGCGTGCAGTGGCGTGATCTTGGCTCACTGCAACCTCTGCCTCCTGGGTTCAAGCGATTCTTTTGCCTCAGCCTCGCCAAGTAGCTGGGACTACAGGCGCACGCCACCACGCCCGGCTAAGTAGAGACGAGGTTTCACCATGTTGACCAGGCTGGTCTCAAACTCTTGACCTCAGGTGATCCGCCTGCCTCGGCCTCCCAAAGTGCTGGGATTACAGGCATGAGCCACCGCGCCCAGCCAAGGTCATTCTTTTGAGTGCAGATGGCTCACAGGCTAGCCTTTGAACTCTGCCTTTAGAAGGCCTTATAAACTGAGTGTCTATAGAGCACAGAAGAGACGCTACATACCTCAGCTGTTTGGTGGGTTACAGAGTGGGGTTTTTTTTTAGGTAACCACAGGAACCAGGCCATCTGCCTTAGATAAATAAATGATATTATGTCACATGGGGCATTCTTTTTTAATATTAAAGAATATTCTTCATTCAAATTTTGAGAATTATTTCTTACAGGGTAGTTGATTAGCCTGTGGCACAATAAAAAGATTTTCTCTAAGCTTAAGTACCAAGAAGGCTTTATACACAAGAAGTCTAGGTCTTTCAAATCTTTTTTTTTTTTTTTTTTTTGAGACGAAGTCTCACCCTGTCGCCCAGGCTGGAGTGCAGTGGTGTGATCTGGGCTCACTGCAAGCTCTGCCTCCTGGGTTCACGCCATTCTTCTGCCTCAGCCTCCCAAGTAGCTGGGACTACAGGCACCCGCCACCATGCCCAGTTAATTTTTTGTATTTTTAGTAGAGGCAGGGTTTCACTGTGTTAGTCAGGATGGTCTCCTGACCTTGTGATCCACCTGCCTCAGCCTCCCAAAGTGCTGGAATTACAGGCGTGAGCCACCACACCCGGCAAAATCATTCTTTTTTGAGACAGAATCTCCCTCTGTCACCCAGGCTGGAGTGTAGTGGTGCGATCTTGGCTCATTGCAACCTCCATCTCTGGTTCAAGCGATTCTTGTGCCTCAGGCTCTTGAGTAGTTGGGATTATAGGCCCCGGCTAATTTTTGTATTTTTAGTAGAGACGGGGTTTCACCATGTTGGCCAGGCTGGTCTTGAACTCCTGACCTGAGGTGATCCACCCTCCGTGACTCTCAGAGTGCTGGGATTATAGACGTGAGCCACTGTGCCCTGCCTAAAAGATTATTTAGAGAAAAAATATCCAATTATGAGGGAAAAATAAAATCATAATGTGTCCACAGAATTATGCATATGTTTTAAATGTTTCAAAGTATTTATATTGATTGGAGAAATGCTTAAAAGTTAAAAGAAGGCAGGATACTAAATTACATAATACAGTTATCTAAAAAGCATAGAAAAGTTACTAGAAGAAAATGCATTCATATATATATGGGGGAGTCTTGCACCGTCACCCAGGCTGGAGTACAGTGGCACAGTCTCAGCTTACGCAACCTCTGCCTCCTGTGTTCAAGTGATTCTCCCACCTCAGCCTCCCAAATAACTGGGAGTATAAGCGTGAGCCACGGCGCCTGGCTGACTGATTGATTGGTTGATTGATTCCCTCTTTCCTTCTTTCCTTCCTTCCTTCCTTCCTTCCTTCCTTCCTTCCTTCCTTCCTTCCTTCCCTCCCTCCCTCCCTCCCTCTCTCCTTCCCTCCCTCCCTCCCTCCCTCCCTCTCTCCTTCCCTCCCTTCCTTTTCTTTTCCTTTTCCTTTCCCTTTCCTTTCCTTTCCTTTTCTTTCTTTTTTTTTTTTTTTTTTTGACATAGTCTTGCTCTGTCACCCAGGCTGGAGTGCAGTGGTGCAGTCTTGGCTCACCGCAGCCTCCGCTTCCCAGTTTCAAGTGATTCTCCTGCTTCACCCTCCCGAGTAGCTGGGATTACAGGCACCCACTACCACGCCCAGCTAATTTTTTTGTATTTTTAGTAGAGACAGGGTTTTACCATGTTGGCCAGGCTGGTCTCAACTTCTGGCCTTAAGTGATCTGCCTGCCTCAGCCTCCCAAAGTGTTAGGATTACAGGCGTGAGCCACTGTGCCCAGCCAGAAAATATATTTATATTAACTATGGTTGTAATTGGTAGAACTTGGATCAGTGTTTTTCTATCTACTTCTCTTTTTTCCACATTTTCAAAGATATTTTTGCTTTTATAATCAATTAAACTTGGCCAGGCATGGTGGCTCACGCCTGTAATCCTAGTACTTTGGGAGGCCGAGATCACGAGGCAGATCACGAGATCAGGAGATCGAGACTATCCTGGCTAACATGGTAAAACCCCATCTCAACTAAAAATACAAAAAATTAGGTCGGGCGCACACCTGTAATCCCAGCACTTTGAGAGGCCGAGGTGGGCGGATCACCTGAGGTCGGGAGTTTGAGACTAGCCTGACCAACATGGAGAAACCATGTCTCTACTAAAAATACAAAATTAGCCAAACGTGGTGACGCATGCCTGTAATCCCAGCTACTCGCAAGGCTGAGGTAGGAGAATTGCTTGAACCAGGGAGGCGGAGGTTGCAGTGAGCTGAGATTGTGCCATTGCATTCCAACCTGGGCAACAAGAGCGAAACTCCTTCTCAAAAAAGAAAGAAAAAGAAAAAAAAAATTGGCCAGGCATGTTGGCATGCACCTGTAGTCCCAGCTAACTCGGGAGGCTAAGGCAGGAGAATTGCTTGAATCCGGGAGGCAGAGGTGAGCTGAGATAGTGCCACTGCAGTCCAGCCTGGGCGACAGAGCGAGACTCTGTCTCAAAATAAATAAATAAATATATAAATAAATAAAATTAAAAATTAAATAAACTTTATTTTAAAAGCAGCCTTTCCATAATGTGCCTTAATTTTAAAATATCCCTTGGTATACATTACTGCAGGGGAGATGTGGGAGGTGGCTGAGGAGTCACTGGGTTGAAATGACTTAACAAAGTTCAAAGCAAAGAGTTCAAGTTTTGGCTCTCTTTTATGGTGCTGGCACTACTCTACATTCGTTTTTTGGAAAAGAGATGCAAGTAAATTCAATAGATAACTGTAACCCTGATAAGTCCTGTTACCTAAGTCTGGTTAAATCATTTATCAAGTGGGAGTAGTAGTGGGAGTAATAGCACCTGCCTTACAAGGTTGGGGTGAGGCTTAAATGATATGGTACTGTGAGCCCCGAAGTACCGTGCACATGGAAAGAAACCTCATTAAATGAACTTTCAGGCTACCGTAGCTAAAGCTTTTGCCAGTATATTTAATTTGTAAGAAATAATCACCGTGATTGACATGGTGTTCTGTTTGGTATATTTCACAATCAGAGAGGACCAGGTAAACTTCCGTGGATTCATGCGAACTTTGGCTCATTTCCGCCCCATTGAGGATAATGAAAAGAGCAAAGATGTGAATGGACCCGAACCACTCAACAGCCGAAGCAACAAACTGCACTGTAAGGAGCTAAAGTCTTCTGGCTTAAAATACTTGCTTTTCATTTCTTAAAAGTCATGTATGTACTTACTCATTATTTGAACAAGCATTTACAAGAGCATACTGGTTAAGACCTCAGACTCTGGAGCTAAACTGGCCAAGATTAAATACTAGTCTACTCTTTTTTGGCCATGTGACTTTGGGCAAGGTACTTAACCTCTTTGGGCTTCACTTTTCTCTTCTGTCAAATAGGATTCTAAGGGGTTCCGCATTGGATTGTTGTGAGGATTAAATGAGTTAATAAATGTCAAGTGCTTCAGATAGTGCCTGACATATACTAGGTACTTAATAAGTGTTACCTGGTATCATTGTAATTCATTGAGCACCTACTCAATGAGTAGGTGTGGAGGTGTGCCAGGCACTGTGTTAAGTGCTAGCGTGTCAATAGTGAACAAGATCCAGGCCCCACCTTTAAGGAATAATGACAATCCTCAACTCATCTTAGAATTTGATAGACACTGGATATGACTTAAGTAGTGGGGGACAGCTGGATATAGTGCAAGATTTAATTTTTATACCCATGTCTCATGCCCCTTTTCCTTTAATACTTGTTTGCTTTCCCTTCTGCCCTTACTGGTTCGTGTATAATATTGCCCAATTCCTTACAACACTTCTCCAGGAAATTGAAATTAAAGTTCTCTTTTTATTCAGTACAAGTTGAAATTGCAGTTGTATTAAAACTGACTGAAAGCTGAGCGCAGTGACTCATGCCTGTAATCCCAGCACTTTGGGAGGCCAAGGTAGGTGGATCACTTGAGCCCAGGAGTTTGAGACCAGCCTGGGCAACATGGTAAAACACTGTCTCTAATAAAAATACAAAAATTAGCCAGGTGTGGTGGCATGCACCTGTGGTCCCAGGTACTTGGGAGGCTGAGGTGGGAGAATTGCTTGAGCCTGAGAGGTCGAGACTGCAGTGAATCATGATGGCACCACTGCACTTCAAGCTAGGTGACAGAAACTCTGTCTCAACAAAGAAAAGAAAACAAAACAAAATCTTTCAAATAGCAGTAGTGGATTTGGGCATTACTTGGTGTCTTAGGATGCCTTTAGCTGACTCAGCTGGCTTAAACAATAAGGAAATATATTAGCTCACTTTACAAGTCAGGTTAGGCCAGCAGGAGGGTTGATTCTGTTTCAAGCACTAGGGATTTTTCTCTTTACTCTGCCATCCTCATAGTCTGTTTTATCCTAAGGTATTTTGGTCACATGACAGCTCTCAGTTGTTAACAGGGCTTTTTTTTTTTTCTTGTTCACATCTGGCAGTAGAGGAAGAGAGATATATATAGAGAGAGATCGAGACTGAAATTGAGCAACACTCCTCCCAAGCATGGAATGTAAGTCCTTCCCCTCACTTTGATAAGTCAGTTTAGATCAGGAGAGTGCCGAGTGCCGAGGAGATTAGGCTAATGAGATTCCCCTCCTGATGCTGTGGTTGGGGTTCTGCTAGGGAAGAAGGTTGGAATGCCACAGAAATGGCAAACTTCAGGATGAGATAGAATAATAACAAAGTGCTATGCAGGTTATGCTTGGTTTTATTTTGTTTTTGCTTAATTTTTTGAGATAGGGTCTCACTCTGTCACCCAGGCTGAGTGCAGTGGTATGATCACGGTTCACTATGGCCTTGACTTTCCTGGCTCAAGTGATCCTTTTGCCTCAGCCTCTCAAGTTGCTGGCACCACAGGCGTGTGCCCTACACCCAGCTAATTTTTTATTTTCTAATTTTTTCTAGGGATAGGGTCTCACTATGTTGTCCAGACTGGTCTCGAAATCTTGGACACGAGCAATCATCCCACCTTGGCCTCCTGAAGTGCTAGGATTACAGGCATGAGCCTCCATACCCAGCCTGTTTTTTTCATTACATACTTTAGTCTTGGCTGTAGGATTAACTTTTATAGGAAACTAAAAATTAATTAGAATTCTGTTGCAGTCTAGGTGTAGGTATTACATACATGTAATTAGACCAGTAAAACCAAAGCTAATTCTAAGGCCAAAGAAAAGACTAGAAGAGTCCAAGAAGTCCTCAGTTTCTATCTAAATGTGTTGCTTCTCTTTGAAGTTCCCACAGGGCTATATAAGCTGTAGGATGGTGCCTCTTATTGTAGACTGAGAGCAATTGAATGTCATATATCTAGCAACACATTTGCCACTAAGACACATTTACCTTAGAGAAAGGGGATGTGGGCTGGGTGAGGTGGCTCACTCCTGTAATCCCAGCACTTTGGGAGGCTGAGGCAGGCGGATCACCTGAGTCAGGAGTTCGAGACAAGCCTGGCCAACATAGTGAAACCCCATTTCTACAAAAATACAAAAAAAAATTAGCCAGGCATAATGACGGGTGCCTGTAATCCCAGCTACTCAGGAGGCTGAGGCGGGAGAATTGCTTGAACACAGGAGGCGGAGGCTGCAGTAAGCCGAGATCGTGCCATTGCACTCCTGCCTGGGTGATAGAGCAAGACTCTGTCTCAAAAAAAAAAAAAAAAGGGTATGTGTTACTTAGAAATGTGAGTTTACAGGCCAGGCGTGATGGCTCATGCCTGTAATCCCAGCACTTTGGGAGGCCAAGGCGGGTGGATCACTTGAGATCAGGAATTCAAGACCAGTCTGGGCAACATGGTGAAACCCTGTCTCTACTAAAAATACAAAAAATTAGCCGGGCGTGGTGGCGGGCGCCTGTAATCCCAGTTACTCAGGAGGCTGAGACAGGAGAATGGTTTGATCCTGGGGGGCGGAGGTTGCAGTGAGCCGAGATTGCACCACCGCTGTCCAGCCTGGGCAACAGAGCAAGACTCCATCTCAAAAAAAAAAAAAAGAAAAAAGAAATGTGGGTTTACAGAGGAGTGGAACCAAATTTTATTATGGGTTATCCTTTGCATAGAATACTGTCTTCAGGAACTCTGAGAACACACTTTGTCCTATTTCTTTTTTATGCCACAGTGAGAGAATTTTAATCACAATCAGCAAGGCTCAACTATACCCATGTAGGCACAGGCCCACGTACATACAGTGCCACTCTGCTCTTCTGTTTGTCTCCTAGAAGTGGTACCTTACTGCTTTCCTCTTTGAACTGGTGACGTTATAATGCTTTGTGTAGGCCAGGCGCAGTGGCTTATGCCTGTAATCCCAGCACTTTGGGAGGCTGAGGCGGGTGGATCACCTGAGGTCAGGAGTTCGAGACCAGCCTGACCAACATGGTGAAACCATGTCTCTTCTAAAAATACAAAATTAGCCAGGCATGGTGGCGCATGCCTGTAATCCCAGCTACTCGGGAGGCTGAGGCAGGAGAATTGCTTGAACCTGGGAGGCAGATGTTACAGTGAGCCAAGATCACGCTATTGCACTCCAGACTGGGCAATAAGAGTGAAACTCCATCTCTAATAATAATAATAATAATAATAATAATAATAATGCTTTGTGTAAAAGATACAGCCCTATGTACAGGTGGATAGTGTTAAAAAAAAAAAAAGTGAAAAGTAAAATTCATCTTAGAATGCCCAGGGCATGGTAAGTAAGAGAGAATTCTAGAGGTCTACAGGTTTTCCTTCCCACATTCTAATTGTCTTCTTAAATGGTTTAAGTTTTTATAAAACATAATGATGTGGAAAGTAGAGTCTACATTAGAATATTTTTTTGGGTGTTGAGGAGTATAGGTGGTGTAGAGCTTGGGAGAGTAGCCAGGAAGAAATAGCAGCATTATTCATAGAATCCAAAAGGTAGAAGCAATCCTAGTATCCATCGACAGATCAATGGATAAATAAAATGTTGGGTACACATACAATGGAATATTAGTCTGTATTAAAATAGAAAATTCTGAGGCCAGGCTCGGTGGCTCACGCCTGTAATCCCAACACTTTGGGAGGCCGAGGCGGTTGGATCATGAGATCAGGAGTTCGAGACTAGCCTGGCCAATATGGTGAAATCCCATCTCTACTAAAAATACAAAAATGAGCCTGGCACGGTGGTGGATGTGTGTAATCCTAGCTACTCGGGAGACTGAGGCAGGAGAATTGCTTGAACCCGGGAGGCGGAAGTTGCAGTGAGCTGAGATCACACCACTGCACTCTAACCTGGGTGACAGAGCAAGACTCCATCTCAAAAAAAAAAAAGGAAATTCTGGCACATGGTACAACATGGATGAATCTTGAAGACATTTTGCTGAGTGAAATAAAGTGGATATAAAGGACAAATATTGTATGATTCCTCTTATGTGAGGTTTCCAGAGTGGTCAAATTTGTAGAGACACAAAGTAGAACAGTGGTTGCCCAGGGCTGGGGGATGGTGGTGGTGATGGTAATGGAGTTGTTGTTAAAAGGGTACATTTTCTGCTGGTGAAGATGCAGAAGTTATGGGGAGATGGATGGTGGTGATGCTTGCACAACAGTGTGAAAGTACTTAATGCCACAGAACTGTACCTGTAGAAAAGGTTTAACTGATAAATTTTATGTATATTTTACCACAATAAAAAAAAAAAAAGAAGCAGCCAGGCATGGTGGCTCATGCGTGTAATCCCAACACTTTGGGAGGACAAGGTGGGCGGATTGCCTGAGGTCAGGAGTTTGAGACCAGCCTGGCTAACATGGTGAAACCCTGTCTCTACTAAAAATACAAAAATTAGCTGGGCATGGTGGCACCTACCTGTAGTCCCAGCTACTCAGGAGGTTAAGACAGGGAAATCGCTTGAACCCAGAAGGCAGAGGTTTCAGTGAGCCGAGATCATGCCACTGCACTCCAGCCTGGGTGACACAGCAAGACTCCGTCTCCCAAAAAGAAAAAAAAAAAAAAGAAGCAATAGCATTGATTGAAGTAAAGGTAAAGGTTTGTAGCCTGGGCAACGGAATGAGACCCAGTATCTACCAAAAAAAAAAAAAAATTGAGCTGGGCATGGTGGCACACACCTGTATTCCTAGCTACTCAGTAGGCTGAGGCAGGAGGATCACTTGAGCCCAGAAGTTTGGGGCTGCAGTGAGCCATGATTGCACCACTGCACTCCAGCCTGGGCGACAGAGTTGAGACCCCATCTCTTAAATAAAATAAAATAAAGGAAGGTAAAGGTTTAACTGAGATCATTCTTTTGGTTTTTCATTAAGCAAATGTTTGAGCACCTACTACATGCCAGGTACTATTTTAGGCCCAGGATACAGTGATGAATAAATCAGGTAAGGCCCTTGTTTTCTTAGAACTTAAGATCTAATAAGAGAGACAGACTATAGAGAAGACGGGTGAATAAACAAGGTTTATTGTGGCGAGGTCTGTGAAGGAAGTGAATACATGAGATGAGAAAGGCATGGGGAGATGTCACTACTTTAGAAAGAGTGGTCGGTGAAAGGCCTCTCTGAGGAGCTGAAATTTGAGCTAAAGGTCCCGGCACAGTGGCTCACCGCTATAATCCTAGCACTGTGGGAGACTGAGGCAGGAGGATTGCTTGAGCCCAGGTGTTCAAGACCAGCTGTCCGGGCGTGGTGGCTCACGCCTGTAATCCCAGGACTTTGGGAGACTGAGGGGGGTGGATCACAAGGTCAAGAGATCGAGACGATCCTGGCCAACATGGTGAAACCCCATCTCTACTAAAAATGCAAAAATTAGCCAGGCGTGGTGGTGCGTGCCTTAATCCCAGCTCCTCAGGAGGCTGAGGCAGGAGAATTGCTTGAACCTGGGAGGCGGAGGTTGCAGTGAACCGAGATCATGCCACTGCACTCCAGACTGGGCAAAAGAGCAAGACTCCATCTCAAAAAAAAATCGATTTATCTAGACAAAGACCTTGTACCTTTCACCAGCCTGGGCAACATAGTGATACCGTAGCTCTACAAAAATTTTAAAAAATTAGCCAGGCGTGGTGTCTGTGGTTCCCACTACTCTGGAGGCTGAGGTGAGAGGATCCTTTGAGCCTGGGAGGTTCAGGCTGTAGTGAGTCATGATTGTGCTGCTGCACCCAGCCTGGGAGGCAGAGCAGGACCCTGTCTGAAAAAATAAATAAATAAAAATAAAATTAATCAACCACATTAAACAGAACAGAAAAAAAATATATATCAGAAGTCTCTCCTAGCTTCTTCCTTTCTCTGGAATTCTGATACATACCTTACAAGGAGTAAATTAGATTTTAAAATTACTTTTATGTCATCTTTCAGTGGACTCACCCTTTTATTTTGGAGGGGAATGATACTTAAACCGGTAGATATTAATCCATGTTCTTATGCCTTTGTGCCTAATAATAGCTCTGCCTGGAATGGCCACGCCTTGGCACATTTCAGTTTGTCTTTCAGGGCCTTGTTCAAATGTTACCTCTCCTTGATGTTTCCCCAGCTCCACCAGAAAGCCACGTCCGCCATACACTTTGTTCCCCCAACAGTTTGGATATGTTGTAGTGCTTAGGATGTAAGTAGGATGTATTCGAGAGAGTCGTGTATGTTGTTCTCCTCTACTAGATAGTGAGTGCCTAAGGACAGAGTCTAAATCCGTGGATCTTAATAGCTCTAGAGCAGTGGATTTGGGACTTTTAGGGTTTGCAGCACTCTGTTTAAGACCCACAATCTTAGTGGCATTCTTGAAGTGATTCAAAACCTAAAAACCACACTAAATTCAGTTGTGGGACAAGACATTCACGTCCTCAGGCTGGCGATTTGTCACCACACCTATAAAATCACCCAGAGATAACACCCTATTCTGTTGGTAGCGCTTCAGCAACAGTGGCAGAAATCTAATGACTTTGCTTTTCTGATTTCTATCTCATGGACCTAAGCAAAGTTCTCCTATATCGTAGTTTCTAGAAGGCTTAAAGAGAAAGAAACATGATAAGGCCAGGAGACCATCTGAGCCATCATATTTACTTGAAACTCAATTTCTTTACCTGCGGGACTCCCCAGTGGTAGAGAATTACTTGAAATTTGAGACAGTTTTGCCCAGGAGGCTCTTTTCCCAAAGCAGTGCTTTGTGTGGGCCGCTCTCATGGTGCCTGTGTGGTGCCTGTTGTTGGTTCTCCCTGAGTGGTACCTGGTAGAACTGATGTTTGTGTGAGGTGACCTAACTTGCAGAACCACGTAAGGGGTGTGTTGGGGGGCTGTTTAACATTCTAGGTTAAGAAGAAGGACATTTGGCTTTCTTTTTATGAAGTTTTCTGATTTATTGGAAGAGGGAGCATACTTCATTTAACCTAAGAACTCATCAATTCTCAATTCTTCAGTGTTACAACTTTTTAAAAGCCCTATAAGTAATGGCAGTTGTTCTTGGAAAATTGATTAATTGGCTGTTAGTTTTCTGTCTAGTGTCTTATATATTTAGTGCCTTGAGAAGGGGCATCACACTACAGAATTTTGACTAACTTTATGTTTTTCCCTTACAGTTGCTTTTCGACTGTATGATTTGGATAAAGATGAAAAGATCTCCCGTGATGAGCTGTTACAGGTATGTCGGAGAGCTCCTGGAGAACTTGTGCTTGGACTCTGCCTGCTTATTATTGTGGGCAGGACCTGTTCTTTAGTAAGCGTTTATTTAACACCTGCTATGTGCAGAGTCTTGTCCTGGTTATAAGGCAAAGGAGATGACCTGGGAAAACCTGAAATGGCTCATTATGTTTTCTTAGACAGATGTCTCCACCATCTAAAAGCTAACTAGGCTGGGCATAGGGGCTCACGCCTGTAATCCCAACACTTTGGGATGCCAAGGCGGGCGGATCACCTGAGGTCAGGAATTCAAGAGCAGCCTGGCCAACATGATAAAAACCCGTCTCTACTAGAAATACAAAAAGTGAAGGGGTGGCCTGCCCCTCCACACCTGTGGGCGTTTCTTGTTAGGTGGGACTTGAGAAAACAAATGAGACGGATAGGCAGCCATCATGAACGACACTGTAACTATCCGCACTAGAAAGTTCATGACCAACCGACTACTTCAGGGGAAACAAATGGTCATTGACGTCCTTCACCCCGGGAAGGCAACAGTGCCTAAGACAGAAATTCGGGAAAAACTAGGCAAAATGTACAAGACCACACCGGATGTTATCTTTGTATTTGGATTCAGAGCTCATTTTGGTGGTGGCAAGACAACTGGCTTTGTCATGATTTATGACTCCCTGGATTATGCAAAGAAAAATGAACCCAAACATAGACTTGCAGGACATGGCCTGTATGAGAAGAAAAAGACCTCAAGAAAGCAATGAAAGGAACGCAAGAACAGGATGAAGAAAGTCAGGGGGACTGCAAAGGCCAATGTTGGTGCTGGCAAAAAGTGAGCTGGAGATTGGATCACAGCCGAAAGAGTAAAGGTGCTGCAGTAAAGGCTACCTGTGTCCATTTTGGATTTTTCACAAGCAGATTAATAAACTAAAAACTTTCATGTGAAAAAAAAAAAAAAGAAATGAGACACAGAGACAAAGTATAGAGAAAGAAAAAGTGGGCCCCAGGGACCGGCGCTCAGCATACACTCATTATCTTTACCATCTTAGAAAAAGGGAAGTGGCAGGATAATAGGATCATCGTAGGGAGAAGGTCAGCAGTAAGACATATGAATAAAGATCTCTGTGAATAAGTTTAAGGAAAAGTGCTGTGCCTTGATATGCATATGCAAACATCTCCATAAACCTTTTTAGTGCATAAAGAGCAGCATTGCACTAGCAAGTCCCACCTTTCGTCCTAAGGCGGTTTTCTCCTTTCTCAGTAAACAGAACATACAATCGAGTATTACACCCGAGATGTTCCATTACCCAGGGACGGGCAGGAGACTGATGCTTTTCTCTATCTCAGCTGCCAAGAGATCTTCTTTCCTCTTTTTTTTTTTTTGAGACGGAGTCTCGCTCTGTCGCCCAGGCTGGAGGCAGTGGCGCGATCTCGGCTCACTGCAAGCTCCGCCTCCCGGGTTCACGCCATTCTCCTGCCTCAGCCTCCGAGTAGCTGGGACTACAGGCGACCACACCGCGCCCGGCTAATTTTTTGTATTTTAGTAGAGACGGGTTTCACCGTGGTCCGATCTCCTGCCTTGTGATCCGCCCGCTCGGCTCCAAGTGCTGGATTACAGGCGTGAGCCACCGCGCCCGGCCTCTTCTTTCCTCTTGTACTGGTCCTCCTCAGCACAGACCCTTCACGGGTGTCAGGCTGGGGGACGATCGGGTCTTTCCCATCCCACGAGGCCATATTTCAGACTATCACATGGGGAGAAACCTTGGACAATACCTAGCTTTCTTGGGCAGAGGTCCCTGCGACCTTTGGCAGTGTATGTGTCCCTGGGTACTTGAGATTAAGTGAATGGTGATGACTTTTCACAAGCATACTGCCTTCAGGCACTTGTTTAACAAAGCACACCCTGCACAGCCCAAAATCCCTCAAACTTTGAGTCACCACAGCACATGTCTCTTGCAAGGACAAGGTTGGGGGTAGGGTCACAGATTAACAGCATCTCAAATACAGAACAAAATGGAATCTCTTATGTCTACTTCTTTCTATATAGACACAGTAACAGTCTGATCTTTCTTTTCCCCACAAAAAGTAGCTGTCCATGGTGGTGGGTGCCTGTGATCCCAGCTACTCGGAGGCTGAGGCAGTAGAATTGCTGAACCCAGGAGGCGGAGGTTGCTGTGAGCCGAGATTGCGCCACTGCACTCTAGCCTGGGCGACAAGAGCGAAACTCCATCTCAAAAAAAAAAAAAAAAAAAGTAAATAAATAAAAGCTAACTAAATGGCTTTTAGGTACTGACTGAGAGTTAAAATATACAACATGGTTTACATCAGGTAATTCATTTATTGCCAAATCAGATTATTGGCAGCCAGGTAATTCTGATGATACTTAGTTAAATGCAGTCATTTAGTCTGTCCTTAGGGTTGACTAAGAGTCAAGGAGCTGCTGCTGTGCTGGTGTACCCTGAGCCAACTGCCCACTGTTCTTTGTTGCTTCAAGAGATGATTCCCTGTTTTCCTACTAGCAGTGACTGGCATTTCATCCTAGGATGAAATTACTCAGGGCAGATTCAGGAGCAACCCAACGTATTCTTACATTTCTATGAGCAAAAAACAAAACAGTCTGCAGGTCAGTGTTAGTGTCCCTTGCTTTTGAGTTGGGAATTTCTTCAGCGAGAAGAGTTTATTTTCTTGAAAGTTGCTACATATGATTTTCTGAGTTCTGAAGAAAAAAGACAGTGGCAGTCACTCTGTAGTTGCATGTGTTTATTCTCTGACCCAGATCTGACCTCAGGTGATCCACCCGCCTCGGCCTCTCAAAGTGCTGGGATTACAGGTGTGAGCCACCATGCCTGGCCCATGTTTTCTTAATATGATTCCTGTGAAAGTATTGGTTGAACTTTTGGAGGTTATTATCTTGATTGTGAGGACGGTGCCATGGGCGGGTACATATGTTAAACCTTATCCAATTGTACATATTACTTTTTTGTTTTTTTGTATTTTTAGTAGAGACAGGGTTTCATCATATTGGCCAGGCTGGTCTCGAACTCCTGACCTCAAGTAATCCACCCACCTCAGCCTCCCAAAATGCTGGGAGTACAAGCATGAACCATCATGCCTGGCCCCAACTGTCCATTTTAAATATGTACATTTTATTGTATATTATTTATACTTCAATAAAGGTACTCTACTCCCCAACTCATTTTATGAGGCTAGCATAACTTTTGCCTGACAATCTTTTTTTTTTTTTTTTTGAGACAGAGTCTCACTTTGTTGCCCGGGCTGGAGTGCAATGTCACCATCTCAGTTTACTGCAACCTCTGCCACCCAGGTTCAAGCGATTCTCGTGCCTTAGCCTCCTGAGTAACTGGGATTACAGACATGCTCCACCATGCCTGGCTAATTTTTGTGTTTTTAGTAGAGATGGGGTTTCGCCACGTTGGCCAGGCTGGTCTTGAACTCTTGGGCTCAAGCAGTCCACCCACCTCAGCCTCCCAAAGTGCTGGGATTACAGGCATACCCGGCCACACCTGACAATCTTATAAAAGACAGTATAAGAAACGAAAATTAGGGGCCGGGCATGGTGGCTCATGGCTGTAATCTGAGCACTTTGGGAGGCCGAGGCAGGTGGATCACAAGGTCAGGAGATTGAGACCATCCTGGCTAACATGGTGAAACCCCATCTCCCCTGTCTCTACTAAATATACAAAAAATTAGCCGGGCATTGTGGCGGGCGCCTGTAGTCCCAGTTACTCGGGAGGGTGAGGCAGGAGAATAGCGTGAACCCAGGAGGCAGAGCTTGCAGTGAGCCGAGATTGTGCCACTGCACTCCCACCTGGGTGACAGAACAAGACTCTGTCTCAAAAAAAAAGAAAAGAAAATTATAGCTCAATCTCTTTTATGCAAATAGTTGTAAAAATCCCAAACAAAATATTAACACACTGAATCCAGCAATATATAATATAATATATATATTATAGCCAAGGATATATTATAGCCAAGGTGCAATTGTACTAGAAATTCAAAGTCGGTTTAACATTAGAAAATTAACCAATATATTTCACCCACACCAACACTTTAAAGAAGAAAAATTGAGTGGTCTTTTCCATAGAAAAATGTAATGGATAAAATCATCATCCATTTATTTTATTTTATTTACTTATTTATCTTTTTTTCTTTTTTTTGAGATGGCGTTTCGCTCTGTCACCCGGGCTGGAGAGCAGTGGCACGATCTTAGCTCAGTGCAACATCCGCCTCCCGGGTTCAAGCAATTCTCCTGACTCAGCCTCCCATGCAGCTGGGATTATAGGCACGCACCACCACGCGCTGTTAATTTTGTATTTTTAGTAGAGATGGGGTTTCACCATGTTGGTCCAGGGTGGTCTCGATCTCCTGACTTCAGGTGATCCACCTGCCTCGGCCTCCCAAAGTGTGTGAGCCAGCTTGCCTGGCCTCACCATCCATTCATGATTTAAAAAAAAAAAAAAAGTCTTAGAAAACCAGAAGTAGAGGGAACCTTTCTTAAATCAATAAAGCATATATATAAAATCCTTCACCAAACATTAAAAATACAAGACGGGCGGATCACGAGGTCAGGAGATCGAGACCATCCTGGCTAACACGGTGAAACCCCGTCTCCACTAAAAAATACAAAAAACTAGCCGGGCGAAGTGGCGGGTGCCTGTAGTCCCAGCTACTCGGGAGGCTGAGGCAGGAGAATGGCGTGAACCCGAGAGGATGGAGCTTGCAGTGAGCTGAGATCCGGCCACTGCACTCCAGCCTGGGTGACAGAGCAAGACTCCGTCTCAAAAAAATAAAAATAAAAAAAAAATAATAGTAGGCTGCGTGCTTTGTTTCACCTCTGTAATTCCAGCTACTCGGGAGGCTGAAGTAGGAGAATCATTTGAACCTAGGAGGAGGAGGTTGCAGTGAGCCGAGATCGGGCCACTGCTCTCCAGCCTTGGCAACAGAGCAAAACTCTGTCTTAATAATAATAATAATTCACTATTAAACTTCTTTTTTTTTTATTTTTTTGAGACAGAGTCTTGCCCTGTCACCCAGGCTGGAGTGCAGTGGTGCGATCTTAGCTCATTGCAACCTCCACCTCCTGGGTTCAAGCGATTCTCTTGCCTCAGCCTCCCGAGTAGCTGGGACTATAGGCACCTACCACCACGCCTGACTATCTTTTGTATTTTTAGTAGAGACAGAGTTTCACCATGTTGGCCAGTCTGGTCTTAAATTCCTGACCTTGTGATCAGCCCACCTCAGCCTCCCAAAGTGCTGGGATTACAGGCGTGAGCCACCGCACCCGGCCTTAAGAACTTTGACTGGAACAATAAGTGGCGGCATGGACAGGCGGAGGGAGCACTGGGCTGGGGTTGGAGGCCTGGGCAGATAGTCCATGCCACTGCTTCCTGGGACCTGAGTCAAGCCACCTCTGGGCCATCATGTCCTCATTAACAGATCGGATGAGATGACCTTTTTTTTTTCTTTTTTGAGACAGTCTCACTACATTGCCCAGGCTGGCTTGAACACTTGGGCTCAAGTGATTCTCTGGCCTTAGCCTTCCAAGTAGGTGGGACCAGTAGCTGGGACGACATACATATGTCATTTGCACCTGGTGAAATGATGTTAAAGACACCACCACTTCTATCCCCACCCTCCGACTCACACTATAGATACCCATACATAATCCAGTTTTATAATTCTACAAATAAAACACCTCAAAATATTTGGTCTGGGATCTGAAGAAGCTGCTGTTTGAGGTTGGATTCATCTGCTTGGCCACACACAGGGAATATGGCAAATAAGTTGTCTATTGATTATCTTTGCTAGCATTCTCTTTTTTTTTTTTTTTTGAGATGGAGTCTCGCTCTGTTGCCCAGGCTAGAGTGCAGTGGCATGATCTCAGCTCACTGCAACCTCCTCCTCCCGGGTTCAAGTGATTCTCCTGCCAAGGCACGCACTACCATGCCCGGCTAATTTTTGTGTTCTTAGTAGAGATGGGTTTCACCATGTTTTTCAGGCTGGTCTCAAACTCCTGACCTCGTGATCTGCCTGCCTCGGCTTCCCAAAGTCCTGGGATTACAGGCATGAGCCACTGCACCCGGCGCATTGTCTCTTTTTATTAATCCTTCTATTTGTGTATATTTGTACCTAAAATGTACAACTTCCAATTTTCTTTTTTTTTTCTTTTTTTTTGAGAGGGAGTGTCTCTCTTGTCGCCCAGGCTGGAATGCAATGGCGTAATCTCGGCTCACTGCAACCTCCACCTTCTGGGTTCAAGCGATTCTGCCTCAGCCTCGCAAGTAGCTGGGATTACAGGTGCCCACCACCATGCCTAGCTAATTTTTGTATTTGTAGTAGAGATGGGGTTTCACCATGTTGGCCAGGGCTGGTCTCGAACTCCTGATCTCAGATGATCCGCCCACCTCGGCCTCCCAAAGTGCTGGGATTACAGGCGTAAGCCACCACCCCCGGCCACAACTTCCAATTTTCAACAATTGGTTTATTTAAAAAATAATCAGTTTGGATACAAATCAGTATTTCAGCTTTTTTTCTTTTTAGAAAATCATGTAATTTACTATTGATGGATTGATTGATTGACTGATAGGGTCTCTCTCTGCTGCCTAGTCTGGAATGCAGCGACTATTCACAGGCATGATCATAGCACACTGCAGCCTTGAACTCCTGGGCTCAGACCATCCTCCTGCCTCAGCCTCCCGAGTAGCTGGAACTATAGGCACGCACTACCACACCCGGCTTGTAATTTTGCTCTTGTTGCCCAGGCTGGAGTGCAGTGGTGCAATTTCAGCTCACTGCAACCTCTGCCTCCCGGGTTCAAGCTATTATCATGCATCAGCCTCCCGAGTAGCTGGGATTACTGGTATGTACCACCACACCCAGCTAATTTTGTATTTTTAGTAGAGACAGGGTTTCTCCACCATGCCCGGCCCATGAAATCGATTTTTAAAAAGCAAATTACAGGCCGGGCGCAGCGGCTCACGCCTGTAATCCCAACACTTTGGGAGGCCAAAGCAGGCAGATCACCTGAGGTCGGGAGTTCGAGACCAGCCTGACCAATGTGGCAAAACCCCGTCTCTACTAAAAATGCAAAAATTAGCCAGGCATGGTGATGGGCACCTGTAATCCCAACTACTCGAGGGGCTGAGGCAGGAGAATCACTTGAACCTGGGAGGTGGAGGTTGCGGTGAGCCGAGATCATGACATTGCATTCCAGCCTTGGCAATAGATCAAGACTCCATCTCAAAAAAAAAAAAAAAAAAATCTCATGAGATTGTAGAAGGAAGTAAAGGAGTAAAGGAGTGGAGGAAAGGAAGCCTGTGAACCACTGGACTAGAGGCCCTTTCCTTCCTGTGGAAAAGCTCAGTTCTTACCATCTGAAGACAGAGGTGGCTGACTGCAGTAATAATATAAGGAGTCAGAAAGGTACCCTGTCCCCCATTTTATATTGCCTAAGAACCAGCCTTTCCATATTGCCTGACAGTCAAATTGTTAAAGTTGCTTATTTTGTTTAAGGAAGCAATTTTCAACGTATGTTCACACCCTAAAGATGTTAATAGAATTCCCAGGGGCCCGAGGATTGGTGAAGTTTAAGACAGATTTAGTGAAACAGTGTTAAATTCTCTTACTCAATTCTCGCAACCCTTTAATTGTGCTTGTTATTTTTCTCAGAGGGGGATTTAGCATTTAACTCTTTAAGGATCTTTGTGTTTTCTTGGGCCATACTTTAGGAGCAGCTGGCTTAGTGCAGCACCTCAAAGACGACTACATTTGGGTGGGATTTCAGAAAGCCCCACCAAACTGATTTAAATCAATAAGGAACTAGTTAGGCTCACGCAACAAGAATGTTTGGGACAGACTGTCCACGCTGGTACAGTACCTCACTGATGTCCAGGAATCAGGCTTATTCTGTGTTCTTGGCCTGGCATCCATAACTCGTATTACTCACCTCATGGCTCCAGGGTGGCTGCAGTGCCACCAGACAGCATATCTGTATTCTGGGTAAGAAGAATGAGGAAGGGCAAAATGCAAAGGACTCTCCCTTAGTCTTTGTCTTCTTATCCAGTCACCTAGATAAATTCTGCTTACATCATTGCCTAGATGAGAAGATAAGGGTTTCAGCCTTTTAGCTGTTATTTAGTCACATGATGGTAAAGATGGGGATACATTCTGAGACATGCAATGTTAGGCAATTTTGTAGTTGTAGGAACATCATAGAATGTACTTACATTAACCTAGACGATATAGCCTACTATACACCTAGGCTATATGGTGTAGCCTATTGTTCCTAGACTACAAACCCATACAGCATGTTACTGTTCTGACTACTATATGCAGTTGTAACAAAATGGTAAGTATTTGTGTATCTAAACATATCTGTGGCTGGGCATGGTGGCTCATGCCTATAATCTCAGCACTTTGGGAGGTGGCAGAAGGAGAATTGCTTGAGCCCAGGAGTTGAAGGCCTGCCTGGGCAACACAGTGAGACCTCATTGCTACAAAAAATTTTGAAAAATTAGCCAGGCGACTGGGTGCAGTGGCTCAGACCTGTAGTCTCAGCACTTTGGGAAGCAGAGGCGGGCAAATCATGAGGTCAGGAGTTCGAGACCAGCCTGGCCAATATGGTGAAACCCTGTCTCTACTAAAAATACAAAAATTAGCTGGGTGTGGTGGCACGTCCCTGTAATCCCAGCTACTCAGGAGGCTGAGGCAGGAGAATCGCTTGAACCTGGGAGGTGGAGGTTGCAGTGAGCCGGGATCATGCCATTGCATTCCAGCCTGGGCAACAAGAGTGAAACTCCGCCTCAGGGGGAAAAAAAAATTAGGCATAGTTGCATGCACCTGTAGTGTAGTACCAGTTACTTGGGAGGCTGAGGTGAGAGGATCACTTGAGCATGGGAGGTGAGGCTGCAGTGAGCCACATTCGCACTCCAGCACTCCAGTTTGGGCAACAGAGTGAGATCCTGTCTCAAAAAAAAAAAAAAATATATATATATATATATATCTCTAAACATGGAAAAGGTACGGTAAAAATAGGGTACTGTAATCTTTTTTTAAGATTGTTTTGGCTAGGCGTGGTGGCTCACGCCTGTAATCCTAGCACTTTGGGAGGCCAAGGTGGGCGAATCACGAGGTCAGGAGATTGAGACCATCCTGGCTAACACAGTGAAACCCCTTCTCTACTAAAAATACAAAAAATTAGCTGGGCGTGGTGCCGGGCACCTGTAATGCCAGCTATTTGGGAGGCTGAGGCAGGAGAATGGCGTGAACCCAGGAGGGAGAGCTTGCAGTGAGCTGAGATCGCACCACTGCCCTCCAGCCTTGGCGACAGAGCAAGACTCCGTCTCAAAAAAAAAAATTAACTTTTAGGTTTAGGGCTACACATGCAGGTTAGTTATATAGGTCAGCTCTTGTCATGGGGGTTTGATGTACAGAATATTTCGCCACCCAGGTACTAAGCATAGTACCCAATAGTTCTTTTTTTCTGTTTCTCACCTCCCACTCCGCCCTCTGGTAGGCCCCAGTGTCTGTTGTTTCCCTTTTTGTGTCCATGTGTTCTCATCAAAATACATTATTATAATCTTACAGCACCACCATTATATATGTGGTCGGTCATTAACCAAAACATTATTATGCAGTGCATGACTGTATTTGAGGGCATCAAAGGAAAAGGGGGATGGTGATAGCTTTATTTTTAATCTCAATAGTCCCTCTGATTCCCAAGACCCTTGTAATTCCTGGCTCTTGGCCTTCCAGGTGCTACGCATGATGGTCGGAGTAAATATCTCAGATGAGCAGCTGGGCAGCATCGCAGACAGGACCATTCAGGAGGCTGATCAGGATGGGGACAGTGCCATATCTTTCACAGAATTTGTTAAGGTTGGTCACTTACCTCTTTGTTTGAAAAAGTGACGTTTTACTGCACAGGAGGAAGTTTGGAGAACGTTACTCAGATAAGAGCTTGGGAGTGTTGTGACATTCATAACCTTCGTAACTGTTACTGGTTTTCTTCCCCAGGTTTTGGAGAAGGTGGATGTAGAACAGAAAATGAGCATCCGATTTCTTCACTAAAGGAGACCAAACTGTTCCTTGCAGTCTAGTATTTAAGAACTGGAACTTGAAAGTCCTCCTTCCACCAACTCCACCTCCACCCCCTCATTCCCCTTCTCCCAAAGTACTACTGCTGTTGCATGACAACCCCAAATATGTTCTGTCAACACAAACCTGCCTTTGGTGTATAAACAGGGCATTACAGAATGGTACACCCTATCTATTTCTGTTCGGTATCCATTCACTAGTTCTTCATTTATAAGTATCTTCCCTGTTCTGCCGCTGAATGCCACACATCCATCCAGTCTAAGAAAGTGAGACAGGCAATCATGCCAAGAACAAGCCAGCAAAGCTCTTTCACCAGGTGTAGACTGTAGCCCTGCTGCCTTCCCTCCAGCGAGTCTGCCAGCATGCTTTATCCTTTTTATATGTTCTTTGCTTCCTACTTGTGTGTCATCCAACATACTGTTCACTTTCTCTGGCAGTCTTTCTGCCTTTCATTAAGCCTCAAAATCTCCTCTGTTCTACTTGCACCACAAGCTATGCCCTATATATGTATTTTTGACTTGGCAGGATAGTCCAGGGGTCTGGCAGTTTTTATTTACCTTCATTATTAAATGGGCCTCTGGGATGTTGCCTCTCCAGGAGCTTTTTGGTAACCAACATTTCTCTCAAAGTATGAGACCATCCTCTGCACTCCGCTCTGTCATCAAAGGCTGCTAGGTGGAGATACCCTTTTTGAAAGGTGGCCTTGGTGAGAGGTATGGAGTCAAGTCTTCTAGGCTGCTTGCCCACATCACTCTACCTCTGGCCTCTGATTCTCAACTTTGTACCTATGTGGCTCCTCTTGTTAGTGCAATGTTGACTGTTAAAAAAAAAACAGCAGTATGCTTACAGGTTTGCTTAGTTTGGGGACACTGTAACTACCAGAATGGCTGCTCTGACAATATGCCTAGGGACTTTCTCATGGCTTTTATTAACAAGGAGGCTGGGCACCCTATAAAGCCTCATGCATTCACACCTTTGCAGCATGGTTTATGCCTCAGTGTTATGTGCACTGCAATGTTTTCCACTTCACATTTCCAAGTAGAAAGATTAGTGTTACGGAAGTGCCTAATATCCCAGTCCAAATTTATTTATTTATTTATTTATTTTTTGAGACAGAGTCTTGCTCTGTCGCCCAGGCTGGAGTGCAATGGTGTGATCTCCGCTCACTGCAACCTCAGCCTCCTGGGTTTAAGCGATTCTCCTGCCTCAGCCTCCCAAGTAGCTGGGATTACAGGCACGCACCACCATGCCCGGCTAATTGTTTGTATATTTAGTGGAGACAGGGTTTCACCATGTTGGCCAGGCTGGTCTTGAACTCCTGACCTCGTGATCCACCCGACTCAGCCTCCCAAAGTGCTGGGATTATAGGCGTGAGCCACCACGCCTGGCCCCAGTCCAAAATATTTAAAGATTGCTTCCTTAGTGTCTTGAAGTTTTGCACAAATTTTTTTTTGAGACGGAGTCTCACTCTGTTGTCCAGGCTGGAGTGCAGTGGCATGATCTTGGCTCACTGCAACCTCTGCCTCCTGGGTTCAAGCAATTCTCCCGCCTCAGCCTCCCAAGTAGCTGGGTTTACAGACGTGGCCACCATTCCTGGGTTATTTTTGCATTTTTAGTAGAGACGGAGTTTCACCATGTTGACCAGGTTGGTCTTGAACTCCTGATCTCAGGTGATCCTCCGACCTCGGCCTCCCAAAGTGCTGGGATTACAGGCATGAGCCACCATGCTCAGTCACAAAATTCTTTATGAATTTTACACTTGGCAAATGTTAATGATGAAAGCCATAGTCTGCTCCTAATACATGTCCAAAGCATTGACTATCATTAGCTGCCTGGTTACATTAGCTCCCTAGCTCCTTGTATAGACCACTGCTAATCCCTTAAAAACAAGAGGTCTGGCACTAGTAGCACAACCTAAGGTGGCATTACAGGTCTTTGAGCAAGCCACAGTCAAACTTTTCTGCCAAAGTCAGTAGACTTCAGTGTATCAGGCTGCTGCTATCCTAATGTATGTGTCTATGAGTCTATTTATCCACACATCTGCCCTTGGCTGACTTTCTCTGACTCATTGCTTGCTTGCTTGTTTCCTTGCTTTGGAAAACTATTGAAGATGTGTAGGTTATTCCTTAGGAAGGGGATTGCTACAAAAATACCACTGCAAAAGGGTGGAAAAGGGTGGAGAACAGGGGAGTAGCCTGGCTGGATGGCTCAAATATAAATGAATGAGGAATTCTTTATGAGTATCAGTCACACTTTGTGATCAAGTGATGTAATATAGGAATTAGTGTAAAAGGGAAGAATGTCTGATACTGATCTATTAGGTACTTTAGAGGCTTCTTGATTGGCATAAAGTTCCTAAGGTTATAGCTTTTCCCTCCTTTTGGCTGTATAGCAAAGTGTTTTAATCCAAGGTTGTGCCTTACTGTTCCATTAAAATTGTATCTTCGATTCATCAATAAATACTTGTGGTTGAAACAAAATAACTTTTGTCCATTTTACAAGAATTTTATGTAACTTAGTCCCTTCAAGTTTGAAATCACAGTGTCTCCCTAACTCAAGTTTATGTCTGTACTGTCAGCTGCAGTCTACTCTGCTGCTGCCTGGACATATGAAGTGGAAACATTCTTCGAGGGGCCAGCACTTTTGGCCTCTAGACACAGTTTTGTCAGCTGTGGCCACTTCCCATTCATTCCAGCTAAGATGCAATTTCTGTGCTTGACTCCCCAACTCCTTCAATGTAGAAAAAGCCTAAAAATCCAGTATCTGTCTATTCCTTGTGAAGTTGCCCACCTCCTCATTCATGTGCAGCTTCAGTGGTGACATACTCTGCTTTTACATGGCTTTTTCTTTTTTTTTTTTTTTTTTTTGAGACGGAGTCTTTGTCACCCAAGCTGGAGTGCAGTGGCGCGATCTCAGCTCACTGCAAGCTCTGCCTCCTGGGTTACACCATTCTCCTGCCTCAGCCTCCCGAGTACCTGGGACTACAGGCGCCCACTACCATGCCTGGCTAATTTTTTGTATTTTTAGTAGAGATTGGGTTTCACCATGTTAGCCAGGATGGTCTCGATCTCCTGACCTCGTGATCCGCCTGCCTCGGCCTCCCAACGTGCTGGGATAACAGGCGTGAGCCCCCGCACCTGGCCAGCTTTTTCTTTTTGTTTTTTGAGATTGAGTCTCACTCTTGCCCAGGCTGGAGTGCAATGGCACAGTCTTGGCTCACTGCAACCTCCACCTCCTAGGTTCAAGCAATTCTCCTGCCTCAGCCTCCTGAGTAGCTGGGACTACAGGCACGTGCCACCACACCTGGCTAATTTTTGTATTTTTGGTAGAGATGGTGTTTCACCATGTTGGCCAGGCTGGTCTCCTGAGGTCAGTTGATTCACCTGCCTCGGCCTCCCAAAGTGCTGGGATTACAGGCGTGCGCCACTGCACCAGGCCAGGAATCTGCATTTCTATGCATTTCTATGAATCCACCCAGATGACAGCCCTCTTGGTGTCTGGCAAGCACGGTACGCTGGGCCCCTTGTCATAACCCCGAAGAGGAGCCACCCCATATATACCCTTCCTGTCATCTCACGCGTCCTTGTGAAGAGACCACCAAACAGGCTTTGTGTGAGCAACAAGGCTATTTATTTCACCTGGGTGCAGGCGGGCTGAGTCCCAAAAGAGAGTCAGCAAAGGGTGGTGGATTATCATTAATTCTTACAGGTTTTGGGATACCCGGTGGAGCCAGGAGCAATGTTTTGCCGGCAGGGGGTGGATCTCACAAAGTACATTCTCAAGGGTGGGGAGAATTACCAAGAACCTTCTTAAGGGTGGGGAGATTACAAAGTACATTGATCAGTTAGGGTGGGGGCAGAAATCACAATGGTGGAATGTCATCAGTTAAGGCTATTTTCACTTTTGTGGACCTTCAGTTGCTTCAGGCCATCTGGATGTATAGGTGCAGGTCACAGGGGATATGATGGCTTAGCTTGGGCTCAGAGGCGTGACACCTGCCCCTCTGGGAAATGGTGCAGAAGAAAGGATGTCCTACAGTTGGGTGTAGCAAACGACAAAACTGCCAGTTATAACAGGTTTCCTCTATGCAGGAGGGCCCTCAGAAAAGTGACAAATCCTTCTCTCCTGTATTGACCAAAGCTGTAAACAGGAGGACAACGTTTGAACCCTCTAAGAGTCAAAGACAGAGACAAACTGGAACCATTACATTTTTTCTCCAGGTGTTGTGCTACCCCAGAATTAAAAGCCTGGGCACGGTGGCTCATGCCTGTAATCCCAGCACTTCGGGAGACCCAGGCGGGTGGATCACCTGAGGTCAGGAGACCAGTCTGGTCAACATAGTGAACTCTCGTCTCTACTAAAAATACAAAAATTAGCCCGGCGTGGTGGCATGCGCCTGTAGTCCCAGCTACTTGAGGGGCTGAGGCAGGAAAATCGTTTAAACCCGGGAGGCGGAGGTTGCCGTGAGACAAGATCGTGCCACTGCACTCCAGCCTGGGCGACAGAGACTCTGTATTAAAACAAAAAAAAACAAAAAACAAAAAACAAAAACAAAACCCTCGGGCCTAAGAATAAAATTATTAGTACTACAGTTTAACCTAACAGTGGCTTAAAATAGTCACGCAGCCTAGCCACACTATCTTACCACGTGGTACAGCTCCTACGCGGAAATTTTACATTCTTAATAAATGAATTACAAAAGCATTTACCGTGTTACCTCGATTCTGGGACCCAATCCGACTAAAAAGGGATCGAAAGAGTGCGGCGAGAGCTATTGATTGACGTGCATTCCAGCCAACCTACGACGCAAGGAGAGCGCGCGCGAGCAGGACGATACCCAATCATCACTCAGCTGTAGCAGCGGAGGCGGGGCTTGTGGGAACGGCCCACCGCAGGGTTGGCTGACTTGAGAAGCTGCGAAGATGGCGGAGTAAGGCGTGCCGCTGTAAACTGGCCTTTGGGCCGGGGGCGGGTAGCCCCCGGGAGGCCGAGTGCATCTGTTGGACCGTGCAAGGTGAGCCGAGAAGGCCAGTGACGGGGGGACGAGCAGGCGCCGAGGAGGTGGTGTGGCCCAGCCGGGAAGGGTACGGAAGCGCGCAGGAGCCTGTGAGTTGCGGGCAGCCGGCCTCGGCCTCGGCTGGGTGGGGGTTCCAACCTCGGCGGCTCCGGGGCGGCCGGCACCTGCCTTCTGGGTGTGTCGCACGGCCCACTCCTCAGCCCGCCTCGGTCCTTCCCAGTGCCATGCCTTTAGCCACCTTTGTGCTTTCTGCTTGCACCCCCACGGTGCTGTATCTGGCAGCCGCTGCTTCTGCCATCGATTTATTTTTCGAGGAATATCTTTGTTTTATTGATATACTCCTCGCCTTAGGACTTCGTGCCCCCTCTTTGCCCGTCTGCGGTATCAGTTGAGGCCTGTTGTGGCTCTGAGTATTTTGTGTCCCCAGCTCGTTGACCTTGAGACTTGTAACAGGTTCCCCTTGGGAATTGCATTCGCGTGTGTTTATCGCGGACATCCTGGTGCAACCTTTACTAAATCCGTTGGCTCCCACTCTCACCTCCCAAACTTTTATGATCTGAGTAAGCGGTTCTGGCACTGATGTCCTCATAATGGCGCATGAGTTTTGGCTGATGGCAGGATTTTGATAGAATTCACCGTTTTTGGTTTCCGACCCAGAAGTACAGGAGTTCAGTGTACACTATTGTTTTTATAGACACAGAATGATAGGTTAATGTTATTAGAACGTAGTTTGTGTAAAGCGGTGGGGTTGCAGAGTGTCAACACCGTGAGGCATTTAGTATTCGGTTCTCTTGACTAAACGGGTTGTCTCTTTGTAATTTGGATTGTTGTAGCCCCTCATCCGGTCTCTCAGTTAAATTCTAGGAAAGTTCCTGTTACTAGGTTTCGAAATTGGTGTGGCCTGTTTAAAACTGGCACATCAGTTCAGTTCCGATGGACACACCATTAGACAAATGAATGTTTTTGGGTATGCGCTTTGTTGGCCTTGGATTTACTAGAGCTGAAAAATAACACAGAAGGACTTCTATATGAGACCTTTTTTTATCGCTTTTGTTAGTTTATTTTTTGTTTTTTTGTCTTTGTCTCATCCAGGAGAAG